CAAGTTAAATTGAACGTATGCGCGCCGACGTTGCCTGACGATCATGCGAAGACGCTGCGGCTAATAGCCCGGTTGGCACATTCTGGAAGTGGTTAACTTTGAGCGCGAACCAGTACATTACAGTACGCACATGCTACGCACATGGTGCTCTCAAAAGTGGTAAAACGCACCCTCTTGTGTTAGAGCATGGAGCCCATACGGAGGCCAAGTGTCCGGAGAAAAGAACTTGTCCACATTAATTTCGGCGCGGATGTGCGAGTGCGGTTACCCCCCCCCCCCCACCCGACATCAAAAGCTGGGTACACCACTAGCCTAGGCCCACTTGGAAGTAGAGCGTCTCCAAACCAGAGCAACTCCCTCCCAAATTAAAAAAAAATATTCTTAATGGTGAACTTTCCCGAGTGGGGACTCATCATAGTAAAGGCACTTATTAGACTTTAATTAATTTGCAATATTTCCACCTTTTCCAAATATACTGATACATTATCGGTTGATTGTTGATACATTATCGGTTGATACGGTATCCGTTCCGAGGTGATACATTATCGGATACAGTTATTTTGTAGTTACATTATCCATCGACACGTGACACATTATCGGATACAAATTTTACTACACTATCGGTCAACTTTTGCTACATTATCGGTTAGTGATACAATATCGGTCAATTTGTGATACATTATCGGTTGGTGATACGTTATCCATTGTTTACTACATTATCAGTTGTAACACCCTTGTACTGTACCGAGTTTGTAAAGAGTCCTTGTGTATGGGTGCGTCGTAGTTTCATATCATTATTGTGTGTGGTCTGTCAATAAAGTTTCGCTCTTCTTAAACGTCAAACTCCACAAAAGGTTGGTGAGACAAGACCAAAACGTGACACACGCAGGTTTTTATGTAAGGGGTGGGGGGGGGGGGGGCAAAGCCCAACCCGCCCAAATCCTTATACTTTCTCTAGCATATTCCCATTTTTTCCGAGGGTTGGGGGGGGGGCCGGGGGACTTTTGTCCACCAACTCCCATGGCATTGACACCTATGCAGACGCCCATTTTTGTTCAATGTGTATTAAAATGGTAAATATGACTTCATAACTCCAGTGGGGGCAGTCAATCTGTCAATCTGTCAATCTTTATCTGCATCTGTACGTACTTCCAACCAATAGCAGCCACTCTACTTCAGCGTGTGTGACCAACTTTTCAGCGGGTCTCATCTCAATATCGCTCCCCTTAAATGGAAAATAGGCCCTCGGTATTTCTTAAATAATGAAGACGTTTTTGTCATAAATAATCCGTTTGACGAGCTACGTATTTGCTGTTTCATTACTGCAACCTTTCAACTTCAATTTTTGTTTATTCTGGGCAAGATTTCCAGCACCTACTTGTTTATGTGTGACTGTCAAAATGGCTGATTATGATTGAAATGTTCAGTGCTTACTTGGTTTTACCTTTTGTTGTTGTAATATTTTAATCCCCCCCCGAGTCTAGCTTTGATAGGCTTACTTTTCTTGAGCCAAGTGTGTTCTTCTTAGGTTCGAGTATTGCGTGATTGAATTGTGTATTTGGATACGAATGAAATTAACACCTCAGTTGAATTCTCTACCAACAACGTCTTTGTACGAACAATGTAGACCACTGCCCTGTGCCTCTATATGCAAATTGTTTGATTTTTTTTAACCTGCATGGTTAGTAGTGTTGGTCCTTAATATTTAATTCTGCGTAAGTCGGCACGTGGATACACTGTCGCACCTGTTGTTGAATTGTTGTTGAACTTGGTCAAGTTATGTGGGAGCAACGCCTATGTAAGCATGCATAGCGTAACAAAGCCTTTCAAAAGGAGTAAAAATAGAACATGTTTTGAAAAAAAAGTCCAACTTGCAGCTGATATCCTTGTTTACGCTGGATCTACTTTAAGTCTGTATTCTTCTTCAAATAAGCATAGTCCCTATCAAGTATACAAAGGATAAGTGGTGGTTTCAATGAAATTGTTACGGTAGAGGGAGTTTTTTGTGGAAATGATCATTAAATGAAATTTATCTAATAATGTTACAGTCGGCACTTAAACAAAAAGAGAAAATTAAATTAAGTACCGGTATCGAGTGATCAATAGTAGTTTCGTTATCGAAAGAACAAATCAATTATTATTTTTTTTGAAAAAAAATCAATAAACGATGACGTTTCTGAATATCGATCGGTTCATTATCGAACAAAAGTGGTTTAGAATCGACCAAATAATTCAACTGTAACTTTTGAAATGACATTTTCGGAATGGAGTTTCAAGTAATTATTTTGTGACGTGCAGTGGCAAAGCCACGGGGTGGGGGGGGGGCGTGGGGGGGGGGGGGGGGCGACAGCCCCCCCCCCATGAAACCTTGTCGCCCCCCAGTCGCCCCCCCCCACTGAGATTTTGAGTTTCTAAAAAAAATTATCATTGATCTACATGACGCCCTCCCATGAAATGTTCCAGCCCCCCAGCGCCCCCCCCCCACCCCCCCCCACTGAAAAATTCCTGGCTACGCCACACTAATGATGTGGTAAATTTGCCTTGGACAACATATTTTATTCCCTAGCAAAAAGCAGCTGGACCTTCTTTCCCGGGGTTACACAGGAAGTGCCATGGGAAATGAACACTTGAAAACAAGCATTTTACTACAATTATACTAATTAGGTAAATGTGCAGTACTATAGTGATGGTTGCCAACACACAAGACACACTTTAATGATGTCATCACCCAGAAAGGTCGCCCTCTAGCGGATGTCAAAGAAATTTGAATTTTGACAAAAGTTTTGGATTATGTGTGAACCTTCCACCGAATTGCCCGTGAACATACGTAGGAAAAGAAATTCTTTCTGGGAGTCTCAGAATGACGACGTCACAAGACCGGAAGTTGTTGTACCTAGAATCTGAAAAATGATTAGCTTTAAATTTCCTCCTTTTTTAAATACAAATTCATCATTTTCATTCGTACCCAATGGCGATGACTGTTGCCAAAAAAAAAAAATCAGCTAAATTGTATAAATTAAGCATATACTTTAATAACGTCTGGACGAAATACATTATCATTTGGCACATACCCAAATATGATGCATTTATTCAAAGTTAAACTGCAAAGGATGAATTTCATCATTCTTTTGTTTTTGTTTTTATACATGTATAATTCATAACTGACGTTGACAATTATGTATATGACAGATTCGTGCACGGTCAACTTGTGTTTGTAACAAAAGCCAAACGTCTTGTCTTTCCAGTTATATTTCACAAATCGTTAAAGGGATATGGGGATGAGTAGCATCGTTGGAAAAAGAGTCGTCTTGACTTCTCTGCCGGATTTATTACCCAAAAGAGAACGGAAAAATGACACTTGTTTGAGGCATGAACCCCCCCCCCCCCTCTGATGTGCCATTGTCGTTCATAATGTTAAAATATTTCCGTTCAGGTCATACACCGTCATACGAGGAAATACACGTAATGGTTATAGAAGCCAACTTTTCAAATCTCCGATAGTCGTCAAATACCCGAAACCGCGTTGTGACTGGGCCTCTTATATAGGTCTTATACAATCTTCACGAATGAATATAATACTTTTCCTCAAAAAACATTGGTTAAAGTGGTCAGAAATTGCCTCAGATCGCACCACAGAGCCCCAAACCCCACGCTGTAATTTTTTGGGACACACTTTTTGGGGACCACAATTTTCTTCCCCCCCCCCCCAAAAAAATTGTGTTCTGGATCCGCCCTTGTGAATATATCGGTATTTATTGGCATAACAGGTTAGTGTAACATTATTAAATTGATAATAGTCAGTGTTGCAGTCGAGTCACCAACGTCGAGTCCGAGTCACAAGCCTCGAGTCTGAGTCTCGAGTCACAAGCTTCGAGTCCGAGTCTCGAGTCACAAGCCTCGAGTCCGAGTCTCGAGTGACAAGCTTCGAGTCCGAGTCCGAGTCTCGAGTGACAAGCCTAGAGTCCGAGTCTCGAGTCACAAGCCTCGAGTCCGAGTCAGAGTCCGAACCGCGAGACACTTGTTCTTGGTTGTTCACCAAACTAATACAAACATTTTAAATTATTTTTCAATCATCTATTCTTTCTTTTAAGTATGGTGAATCAAACTGTATATAATTTACCTTGCGTGTCGTGGAGATGTTATTTAGACGCGAAATGTGTTTTCCTTTTAATAACCATCCCTAAAAAAACCTCCTCCATCCCTTCCCTTCGTGTTTTATCATCCAAACATTATTCCTCATTGATCCTTTCCCATCCCTACGTTATTTTTTTCTTTTGATGAAAATGCGTGACTCGAGTCACGAGTCACCAAGCTCGAGTCCGAGTCTTCGCTCGTAACCCCCGCCCTGCAAACAGGACGCTGGGATACTCTGATGAGCTTCGCAGAATCTTGTGAAGGAAGTGGCCTATGACCTATGTATAAAGCATCTGGCTGCAGCTGTTCAAGATCGCAGTTAGACAATGTGCGCAAATGCTATCCGAAAACTTCCCATAGAAATGCACAAGTTCCATACGGATGTGATTTCTGATGTGGACAAAATTTTGAGCGTCGCATAATGCAATCCGACTGTTTGTGAATCGAAACGGAGCCTGAGCAAGTGACGGGAATTGTAGATTTACAATACAGATAAGTTTTACAGAATTTCCTACATTATTACGCTTTTTAACGAAAAAAAGCCATCTCTAAACTGGAATAAAAGAGTATTGAATCAGTCTTATCGGCCGTTTCAAACCTTGCAGAGTCATGACCGTGATGACACCCAGGTCACAGGTCACGCAAAATCCAACCAATCAGAGCGTGAATTCATCAGAGTATCCCAGCGTCCTGTTTGCAGGGCGGGGGGTACGAGCGAAGTCCGAGTCATCATGATCGAGTCCGAGTCCGAGTCATTTTCAAATAGGACTCGAGTCAGTCCGAGTCACGAAAAATGTGACTCGAGTCCGAGTCCTGGACTCAAGTCCTACAACACTGATAATAGTTCAAAGCAAAGTCCCGAAAGTTTTACATAATTAATTGAGTACATCGATACCAATACATGAGAATATAGTGACTATAATGGAACATTGTGATGCATTAGTTCACTCACGCTTTGTACTCTACAGGAATGTGTCAAAAAGAAAGTGACATGGATGAAAGATTTCCTTCACCTTAAAATCAATGAAATTGGACACACAAGCGAAGAATAATCAATCGAGAATACTTTCACTTGAAAAACATGAGTTACTGAAACTTATCCATGCTACGAAAACTTCTGCCTACTCTACTAAGAGAATCCATTTTACAGCTGTACAGCTGTCCGTGGAACAATTTGAAGCTATTGAGTGAGAGCCGGAGAATTCACACAGGCGTTCAGCTCAGATACTATCGTTTCAGATAGTTGTTGTCAACTTGAAGATTGAGACATAATTTTTACTGCCTGATTATTGTGTTTTGAATATGAGGATTTTTTCCCTGAAATAATGATGGTAATTTTTCTTTGTCCGTTTACCTGTGCAAATTTTCGTTCATTCACGAAGGCAGGAAAATTCCCTTGTTTCATTGTATTTGAACGGTAAATGATCATTCATGTTGACAGCTGAATTTTGTAATGTTGTATAAATTAGACATAATGTGTGAACATGGTACCCAAATTACATTAATTTTTCACAGTTTCTGGTCAATAATTGTGTACTTTATCCATGTTAATTTGTATAAATTGGAGCAAGCCACATATTTTTGAGATTTTTATTTGCATTATGGGTCACTTTCTTTTTGACTCACCTTGTACGGATAATACGTATACATGTAGTATCAATGTTTATTAAAACGTCAGGCGATCAAAACCTTGACGAATCAGAGTATAATGGATACGTTTCAACAAATGGAAGTGTGTCTCCTATTACTGAGCCCCAATTCCGCCAAGAATGTTGTCGTCATCTGAAAAGATATCAAACCAGAAGAAAACCCCGGAAATTAGAATAGAAACATGATTTTGTATGAGGTGTATAAAACACAAGACTTATGATAAATTCAGAATTCGGAAATCGGCTACTTTTTACTTCTTGTGACGTAATTTTGAGATTTTATTTGATCTGGTTAGCTGCAGAACTGCACTTCAATAAATTTGTACTTTTTAATTAAACACCGGACATAATTAATTCACAATTTCAGCGCTGGGTGCGTTAACGTACAAAAAAGGAGGATCTTCGGTATATGTAAACTAGCAGATGTCAAATCCCGCATAAATTAAATTGTTAAAAAGTTTTACCGTAACGGCAGACCACTCCAGCATCTTGGGCGTGGCCGCAAGTCGACTCCTCCCAGCACTGGGACGGGCAGTCGCCGAGCGCCTCCTCCGAGCCCTCACAGGCTACGCCTTCCATGTGGACAGGGCCGCTGCCCTGCCCGAAGTAGGCCCCCATCTTGGCCTCTTCAGCCTCGGAGAAGCCCAGTTCGCGGCATACCACGGTAGCGTCGTCGATATCCCACTTGTTGTCGCAGATGGTGCCCCATGTCTCGTTGCGGTAGATCTCCACCCGGCCGCTACAGTTTGAGCCTCCCACCAACCGAATGGTGTCTAAATAAGATTCGAGTAAAACATAATTTGGGGTGGATCTAGCTGTCAAGAAGTGGGAAGGGGGGGGTATATGAAGGGTTCTTTTATGGGGGGGGGGGGGATTGAGTGAAGACACGCCGAAGCACGCCCTACTTGGGGGGGGGGGGGTCCAGGGACAGGCTTTCAGAGAACTGAAGGGGGGCGCGATGTGGTGCAACTCCCGCCCCCATAAATCCGCCACTACAATCCATGCAGCAGTGCATGTAAATTTTATAATTTTTCCAAAAGGTTAAGGGGAGTAATGGTGATGTCGACGGCGATAACTTTATAGATCCTTTTCAAGGAATCCATCTTGGGAGAGTCAGTGAATTTGTTCGGTAGGGGTGTGTACCGTGTGTTTGTTTAGCCATTTGTTAATTTGTTGTTACCGAATTACTCTCCTATTTGTCTGGGTTCAAAGTGTCTATAAATGAGGATGATGATGACAATGATGATGAGAAGAAGAAGAAGAGAAATACAGTATATGAACAACTGAAACTGTTATTTACTTAGCTTGGGCAGGCAGACTACCCCGGCTACGTCGGAGTTGTTGCACTGCTGATAGGCGGTGCAGACAAACGGACAGTCAGCCAGCCGGCTCTCTGTCCCCTCACAGGCGACTTTGTTCATCACGACGGGCAAGTCGCCTGTCCCGTACTCCGATGCTTTATTAGCCTGGACTGCGGCGCCGAGGTCCAGCTGACGACACACGACGTCAGCGTCGTTGATGTCCCAGTCGCTGGCGCAGACGGTTCCCCAGCTCGCACCTTCGCCGTGGTGGTAGATTTCCACACGGCCGCTTCTTTCGTCGTCGCCGTCAACCAATTTAATCGAGCCATCGTCTGGAACTGTTAAACAAAAGAAAATGATGAAGTCAACTCCGGGGTCTTCAAATTAGCTGAGAAATAGGTCCAATCATAAAATGTGATTAGATTTTACATGACTCAAACTTTTTGTGCTCCAGTCCAGACCACACGTGGATCTTACAATGTGGGTGTGGACCCGCCTGCTTGTTAATTATTATAACGGGTGGGGGGGGGGGGGTAATTAATAAACAACTTTGATTGATAATACATTTTTAGCGGTAACAATGGACTTGCTACACAGCATCGAAAATTCAAACATCTTTAAAACTTGAATGTTTAGGACAAATTCTCTCGTGGTGTGATTTTAGAGCAGCATTGACATGGTACCTTGCAGAGTAACTGTCATGATTTTCGCAATAATTCGCCTTCAGAAATTTAGGTCACACATTTCTATCGTAAAACAAATGGCACGTGTACTTAGGGTACATAATTCTGGAAGATCTTATTAGGTATAACAAACCACCGCTTCAACGGCGGATCTGAGGGAAGGTTAAGGGGGGGGGGGGGGGGCTAACCACCCCATTCAACTGACGATTGATAATTATTCGTCCACATAATGAAAACAAATCCCAAATGTCCCTGTATACATGTAAAAGGTTTCTGCATAAAGTCATCACTCGATATTGCAAAACTTGATTCATTACTCGAAGACTACACGTTGTATGACATGACTGCAAAGCCTCATCCACGGCCTACCCTTCCAATCTCTTGGATCCCAACCACCCTATCCCCTATAGAACTGCCACTTGCCATAGAATCCAAATGTCAATTTCTAGAAAGAGGGATTACACCGTACCCCCCTTTTTTTTTTTATAAAAAGGACAATACTGTGGTTGAATTACTCATTAATACACAATTTCTTAATCACCTTCTGGACGAAAAAAAAAAAGCTTTTGCAAATTAAATGTGTATTAGGCTATTATAACATACATACCTTGACACCCGAGCACCTCAAATCTCAGATTGTAGCAGGAACCATACCACAGAGATGGTAAGATGCGAATAAACCTCGCTATGGGTACCATCGGGAAGGTGACATTCTTCGCTGCACCATTGCTCAAGCTGAACTGTATAGTATAAGATAATTTAGTTCATGTTTATTAACATAGTAAAGAAATTACGCCTTTTTTTCTAATGTCACTTCCTATTTTCCTTCACAATGTTAAAATAGCATACATTTTTTAATGAAATGCACATCATCGTAAAAATGATGATCAGTAGCCTACTGAGAAGGTTGCCAGCAGACTAACTGAGCTTTCCGTGTAAATATAACGGTACGATATTATTATCAGAGTTGCAATTTGACCTATCGCCATTTTCGAGTTAGCCACGCCCCTTATAGACAACCTTTGGAATTTTGTACGTTAAGTTCTGTTTGTCTCCAGCCTCGACTCCATGGGCGCGTGCGCGTTCCTTGAAATCGCGCAAGGCATGCTGGGAAACAACATGGCGCAGCAAGATCGTACCCATGGGGACCGAGGTTGGTTTGTCTGGGATTTTGCGCGTTCCACGTCCATTTTAATAATGTAATTGAACAATAATAGTTCACAAGCTGCGTTGACGAGATTCTACCGCGATATAGACAAGTTCACCTTTAAACTAAATTTTACACGCGCATTGTGCCTATCGCGGCAGCGTAAACGCAGCTTGTGCAATATTATACAAATAACGAATGTTTGTGAGTGCGATGGTAAGAATAATTTCATGAGGTGACAGATTGAATGTTCTATTCCACGAGGCGAAGCCGAGTGGAATAGAACATTCAATCTGTCACCGAATGAAATTATTCTTTCCATCGCACGAACGTAAAACATTCGTTATTTGTTTAATACAACACCTGAATAAATTCTCGTCATTTGATTGGTAAATTATAAACTACAATTTATTTTGATTTAAAAAATGTTGAACTACCCCTTCACGAAAATGTTTGAACCCAACGCTGTAGCGCTGGCTCTTTGGAACAATACGCACTACGCTGAACGCGCACACCAGCATGCATTTTGCACGCAAATACCGCGTCATGTAACAAGCGCAAAGTGAAACGGTATAACGCATGGGTATAACGCATGGTCGCACCGTGCTTTATACCGAATAATAATATGTCACGTGATCTACAATTCACCAATCAGATGACGGGGATTTATTCAGGTGTTGTATAATGTCCAATGACATGATTCACAAAGAAGTGCGGAATGCGCAAAATCTGAGACAAAGTTAGCGTACAAAATTCCATAGGGTTGTCTTAGGGACGTGGTTAACTCGCAAACGGCGATAAGTCAATTCACAAGAGCAAGCATCGAAGACAAAAACACAAACAGTGCATTGGTATTGCATGGGAGTACAAACATCTTCATGTCTCAAATATTGTGAGTGGTTTTTTTTGCTGTTTGAAGGGTGTAACAAGCCCTCCAGATTATTGTTTGGCAGCCGACCCCACCCTTTATAGCGACCCCTACAGTTCACTGACCGTGATAGCTTGCCCACCGTCGTTAGACAAGCTTTGCCAGTCGTTGGAGTCCGCTGTCAGGCTGTGTTGCACTGAAAATGCCCGAACATAATAACTAGTAGCGTAGTATCTGCCTTGCATGGTGAGCCCGGTAACCGCCGTTGGTTTACCTAGGTCGACCTGGATCCAATGGCCCACATATGTGTAACGCGGTCTCCACCCGTAATTTCCTGATGAATATAATGCAGAAGTGTTAAACAAACTGTTAGTCGGTTTCCTTTACGATATTTTTTGTCTTTGGAAAAAAAAATGACGTCAATTAATCAAGTTCCCACAAGAAACAAATTCCAGTTGTTAGCAGGAAAATTGGGTGGGGAGTGGAAGGGGGTGTCCTGTGATATAATGAGTAAACATATCAAGTTTTATAACACCTCACCCACAGATTCTGTGTCTTGATTGGCCGAGAGCGAGTCACATGTTACTTTCTAATTTTGCTATCTTTCTGTGGACGGCCAAAAGTACTATGCGCATAGCAAACAAAGTACTATACCATTAGCAACCAAAGTACTATTTCCACGGCGCGGTATTTGTGTGCAAATGCATGCTGGTGTGCGCGTTGCGCGTTGTGCGTAGCGCGTATTATTCCAAAGAGAGCGCGCCGCAGACTTGGGTTCAAACATTTCGTGAAGAGTTAGTTTTTTAAGAGAGAAATACATGTTCCACCAATTTTTGTATTGAAATTGAAGTTTATTTCAACTGTGTTCAGATTTAAATAATGTAAAATATTAAAATCGAGCAGAATCTGTGGGTGAAGTGTTATAAAACAAATATTGAATGCTTTATCTCGTGGTGAAGTAAAACTAGCCTCCCTCGGTGATCCATGGACCATTCTATTTTCCCTCGGCTTCGCCTCGGGAAAATAGAATGGTCCATGGATCACCTCAGGAGGCTAGTTTTACTACACCACTCGAAGCATTCAATATTTGTATAATATGATCATTAGGGTTTTATGCAGTTTTCCTTTGAAGCAACAAAGTGGCTCAAATTTGTGTAGGTAGGGTGCACCCAATTAAATTATAGTTATATGGGTGTTCAACTACAACTGGGTTACTTGTTGTTTAACCTCAGAGGCTGCTACTATAGGTCTACGTTTGACGAGACATATATCTGCACATTCATTCTGGGGTTAGTATAATAGTTGCAAACGTTAACATTGTCTATTGCTCGTACATGTTTTAATTATAGCCGATTTCAACCCATCTTTGTCAAAAGTATCAGTAGCCGAGCCCCAACATGTCACATGACCAAACTGAGGCCTAAGGTCATCATGGGGTCACTGTGGTCAAAACCCTGATTTTTTTCACAAAACACCACTCCTTCCAGAAATTTCACGGCACAGTCACGTGACTCGTGCATGAACATGAGTTAGTTGGCTCGTAGCTTCCGAGATATTTCTTATTTAGCTTGTTTAAGCCTTCACCACCTTTAATATTTTTTTCTGCGAAACGATAACATTAGGCAGAATTGTTTCAAAGGTCATTTTGTTTCCGGGTATTTTACCTATGTTCCTACGAGTATGCTACTGCTGAGAAAAAGACCTACCTATGTTCAGGCGAGCATTTCGTGGGTAGTAACTAGAATAGGTCGACGACGCCGTGATGCTGCTGTCCGGGATGGCCCTGTTCTGCATCCCCAAGGGCCCACTGATGCAGGGTGCTCATAGAATTGAACGAAGACATCCACGTCATTGTATATAATAATATCACGTACAATATGCTTCGAACATTATATCAATTTTTTTTCGGAATTAAACTCGTATAATGCGCCTCACATAATTATAGTTAATGCCGATGTTTCATATGTCCAACTTCTGTGTCTTATAGACGCACTGTTTTATTTTCGAGTTTCATCTGGAGAGGTAAATTTTCTTTTTTAAGTGCTGTGTTTCTAGCAAGGCAAAAAACCTATTCTTTAATTGAAACACTGCACACAAAAAATCCGTCAAACGGCGCAGAGCGTAGTTGATGAGTCCACAAATTTTGATTTATGCAGCTCGACAACATAATGGCCAAGTTAGAGCAGCGACTACTTGTCAACCATTGGTCGATTTTGCCTGATAACCTATACCCAAAATGTAATGTTGGTAACAGGAAAAACCGACCAGTGATGGTTCACAAATAGTCGTTGCTCGAACTTGGCCAATAATGCCCGCCGCTCTTGCATGGGTAAACTGGTCTCCACCTCGGCACCTCCCTATCAGGATCGATAATGTAGGGATCGGGAACCAGTCTACTCGCACGACAGATATCAAAAGCGATTAAAAATAAGAGTTCTTTTTCAGAGGGTTGCAACCGCCCGAAATACAAATATAGGGTTTTTTTCCAAATAAAATATTGTAGTTGAAACTTTATCTATTCTATGGAAAAAAAAACACTTTGAATTTTTTGAAGTTCTTGAAGCATTTGACGGTACATTCCAACATCGTTATAGATTATAACATTAAAACGTATGTGATGAAATCGAAGCCAATTTTAACCACTCAGTCTTTTTCAAATGCTATTAATGTGGCATGCACAGCAAAATGGCCAATCACAAATAAAAGAACTTTTGAATTTATTGCATTTTTTTCTGCTATCATTAGGCCCAATGCCATTCGCCAACGAAGTTATTTCGTTTCCGTTTATCCAGAATTGATGCCGTCGATTCGGAACTAAGCAAAGAGGCATGAGGACTTTCAACATGAATGATTCCCCCGTCATATTTAACCTGAAATGTTGAATACACAAATAAAAAGTGTTGTCCTATGTTATTGTGCATTAAATTGAAGTTTTAAGCTTTCTGTGTAAGGCCCGCTATGAGTTTGAACTCACCAGATGTTCCTAAGTGTTCATTGTCTCCACTAACGGGATGGGACGAGCACAGTCCTATTATGAAATGTTTAAGTGGAGAAAAGAAAACACAAAAAAAAATACTTTATGTATAGACATGGGAACACGTGCTTCATTATTGTCATGGAAAAAATTATTCGTTATTCTATCTACGAGACAATTTAAGTTAAATTTCCTCAATTTTCCAACTCCAAAGTTGCTGGTCCATTGACGTTTATTTACTTAAATTGGAAAAAAAAATCAGCCAAATTTGTCGGCCTATTTTAAGTTTTGACAAACGCTGCGCAAGAAGTTGAGCAATAATTTTGCATTGGGTTAATGTTTTTGCTTATACATTGTATGCACGTTATTAGGGACAAAACAAATCAGCGTATGAAGAGCCCAAGAGGCGCAGTTAATGGACGGGTAGGCCTCTAAGTATAAGGGGCTTTTATGGTATAGTAGAATGCTTTTATGGTATGTACATCACCGAGTCTTTTAAAATGCGATACATGGAATTTTTACGTACCAATGAAATAGACACCAACAAAATCACCAGTTTGAGGCTCGATGCCATCTTTGCAAATAGACGGGCGGATTTTCTCAACGCGCAAGTTATGGATAAAACGTCAACCGAACTTCTGACAAAGGACAGGAGCCAATTCGGCTTTTATATCATTGGCCTTATGTGTCAGTCATACCCTTGATCTATTTTCGTGTTATGAAACCATTTTGTCAAACAACTCTAGTATACTTTATACAAAACTTTATTCCATATCCTTGTTGACAATGATAAATTGAGGAAATTTAAATTGAAAAAAAAGAAGAATACGAAATCCCGCAGTTAAACAAAGAAATATAGTGTATATATAGTGTGTCAGTCATGATAAATATAATGACGACGAATAGAATGGTAGACACAAATAATAAGCAAGAAGAAGAAGAAACAACTATAAAACATCTAAAACTTAAAATGTATAACGAGCTTTTTCGATCTCACTGAGACGCAACATCGTACCACCATTACAGGTACAACAGCGAACAAAACGATCATTTCCAAAGCGACCACGGCTTATTTTAATAGAGGGGCAGGAGCCAGTTCAGCTTTTTATTATAGGCATAATAGTGTCAGTCAAACCCTTGAAAACCAGCGTGATCTATTTCAGAGTCATGAAACTAATTTTGGTACACAGTCTGTGTTGACAATGATAAATTGAGGACGTTTCGATTGAAGTGACTTTGTGAAATCGCGCAGCTTAACAAGGAAATACAGTAAGTGTTTTTTTTTTATTTCCTGCTTTATGTGTCAGTCATGACAAAAACAAAGAGGACGAATGAAAGTAGTTAATACAAATAATAAAAAACACAAAGAAAGACTGTACAGAAGATACAATTGTATAACTCAAAGCACTTTTGGCACAAAGACGTAATATCGTACCGCCATCACGATAATATCCACGGCGGTTATGGGTTATTAGATAAGATCCTTGTATTTGCGTCCAATGTAAAACAGAATAGGTCCGCGCCGAGATGGTTGCGGCAAAGATTGTTTTTTGGTTTGCATTTGGCGTGCTGTTTGAAAAGCAACAATGCCCACTAGTATGGGGTAGATCTCCTCCAAATGCCCCCGCTTGGATGAGCATCCTTTTGGCAAGCTCATTTACCACGTTACTACATAGTGGTATAAGATAACAGGCAGAACCCCCTCCTCCCGCCCGTGAATGTCCTTTTCCCAAACCACATCCACATACATCGTTGTTTAGCGCCCCCTACGAGACTTTTATGATACGTACGCAGGTACATACATTGTAATTATTTTTCCCTCACGTTTTGGCGAGCAGTGCGATAGGTCAGTTGACAGGGTCGTGATTTTGCACCGCTAAGTTGCGGGTTCGAATCACCGTTTTGTACCCGAAATGTTTTTTTTCTTTTCTAACATGAGGCTTCGGAGGATTTTTTGTTTTAAAGAGAAATAAAGTTTGAATTTCATTACGTTCGAATTCATATTTTTTCTAATTTATATTTTTTTCTCATGTTTTTAGAAAAGTAATAGCGTACACCCATATGCGGATGTCGTTTGGGTGAAAACAAAATCGCCCCCGCCCACAACCACCACCGCCATTCGAATTCGACCATCGTCGGGACATCGACAGAGTTTGCCTTTTTTATTTATTGAGGAAGCTTGCTTTACTTTGATTTCCATGCAGGCCCTTTGAAGGTGTTTGGTTGAGAAATTCGAGAAAATAGTTATCAGTTCTAGCAAATTTATTAAATACACTCTTTAGTTACCGTTTTGCGCGGGACTGTCGGCCTTTAAGCATTGAAATCTGTTGCACTTTCAAATTACGCAATTGACCATAGCTTCAACTTAGAAGTTTCGATATTCGTGACAATGACATACTTTTTGATGCTTGACAATTTCGATTTTCCATTCCATAAAAACATAGCACATGTCCAGTTCAGTAACGGCGGAGTTCAGCTGCAGTCTGTATACAGTACCTTACCAAACAACCAGCCCACTGATTTAAGGAATCATCTCAAACACGTAAAACAAGTCCATTATAAACGGGATAACAAAGAGCTATAACAAGAAGCTCCATGGTGATAATAAGTATCAGCTCGCTCAAAAAAAAAACCCGCTTTTGTCGTGGCATAAAGAGGCGTAATGACTCGCGCGACTCTTTGAGTTTATTTAGAAATTTCGTTTGTTTTGGATAAAAAAAATGAACCACAGGTACAATACACACACACACATTGCACACAGACTAGACCATGCACTGTACATCGCACGTTGATCGCCATCTTTATTTTCGTGTTGCGTTTTGTGTCGTTGTCATTGGACATTTTTTACCCCGAAATTTCCCTAAAAAATTCAAAACCCTGCCCTTCATTATGACATACCTGTATGTTCTTAATGTCGCAGACTAATAAAGTGGATTTTGTTCCCTTATAGGAACCGGGCCCGTAGATACACAATCAGCGGTTTATTTTGTTGTGATTGCCCGACGCTCGAAGCGTGATGAAGAAAAATGAACCTGACGGATGATAATACAATGCATACTGTTTTATCTGACTTGTGTTGTCAAATTTTGTTGACTTTTGAAGTGTTGTGAGGTTATAAGATAAGCTAGCGCATAAGGATTAGTAATTTTACATTTCAAGTGCAGGCAGACAATAGAAATGAAGGCTACGGCCCTCTTTTTCTATTGTTCATATATCTATTAACCTGGTATTCAGCCCATTTGCACGGCCCCAGTTGGTGCGCCGATGTACCGGGCAAAGGGTTAAAGCCAGGCGCTGATCCAGAGGGGGGGGGGGGGGGGGGGGGGGGGG